GGATCCTTTATCTTTTGAGTTTTGCATCGGGGGGGGGGCTTTATAAACTTAAGTCTACTGTAGAACTTATAATATTATGCATATTAAGGATGGCAAACCCTGCTGCCCGTTTGCACCAACTGCCATTAAAGGAGATTCCGGGGGGCGCAGAAAAGGGCTCGGGAGCACATGCAACCTCAGGACCTCAGACTGCCCACCTTTTGAACTAAAAGGAGGCCAAAGTCAAATCCCAGAATCCAGGTTTTGCTTGAAATTGCTCCAGTGTGCACAATGGGGACCCTTTTTCTGACATCCTCCAAATCAGCTGGAGTTACAACTTTGGGAATTCTCATCTCTGTTCTTGGAGATTCCAAAGGTTCTTCTTTTAACATCTCCAGACGTCACCATGATGGAAAAACTAACCAGGATTGCAGCCTGGATTTGCATTCTTGGCTATCCAAGCTTTCCTCTGAAGATGAGTAGAGAATGTAGTCTGCTCATTTTGCTCCCACAGGAAAAAGTCCTGTTTCTGTTGAGATTCATGGATTGTCTGATGAAATTGCGCAACAGGAGGATGTACGGTACTTCGTTAGTGTGAGTTTGTCACAAGAAAGCCACTCTGCGCACTCCCCTAAGGAAAGATTCCATATACTCATGTCAGAGAGCGTGGTACTCTGCGTATGTTTGGATTTTATAGGAGTTTTGCTCTCTGGCTTGTCGAAAGCCGGTATCAAAACTGGTGTGTCTTCCTAAAAAGGTAAAAGCACAAACAATTTGGAACTTGCAATCCTCGTCCTAACATGTGTCATCGGTTAGGGCAGAAGCAAGTGGTTGTGTGTGGGTACACTGTCACGACACAGGGCTTGTGTTCGAACGGTCCCGAATTCAGAATGGGTCCCATTTTCCATGGTGAGTGTATAGCGTGGCTAGGAACAAACCACGGTCCTGGTTTGCCACCTGCCAAACCTGAGGTCAGAAATGCCACTCAGCTTCACAGCCGCTCAGCCTGAGTGCGATGGCAAGCCGTCAGGTTGAGCTCCAAGCCTTGCGCCGAGGTGCGCAAGTGGGCAGCATACATTCCTAAGGCTCGGAGCGCGTGGGAAGGAAACCCCCAGAGACGCCCACCTCCAGCTCAGCTGTCAGGCTACCTCTTGGACCAACTCTGTATTCTCTGCCAGGGAACTTCCCCACAAACCGAATTGCCGTCATCCAGAGGGGGTGAAGTCAGCTCCCGACGCCTGACGTCATTTCTGAATGTTGAGGCAGCCTAAAGTCAGTCCTAAGAAAGGAAGTGTGCGTGTGTGTGCGCGCGTGTGTGTGAGATAAGATCCTTTTCACCCTGTTCTAGTTTCCTACTTGCAGGGTAGAAAGATGGGGGAAAAAATGACCAACCATCTTCCTATGTTCCTTTTCATTCCTCTGCCAGGTTTGGCCAAATAATGTCCTTTGTCATCCTTGCTTCTTGAAACTCGCCTAAGCGGAATTGGAATTGAGTTGGGTTTGGTTCTAGCAGTACTTGATTCTGGAATTTAGGAGGAAAGGAATTCTTTCTCTTCCTCTGTAACTTAAACAAACAAATCAAAAAAACTAGGCAGGAGGTACAGCGAGACCACAACCAGGAATGGTCTGTAGCCACGTTCCTTCCTCCCTTGCAAGGTTATTGTAAACGGATCTTTGCGCTTTCATAGGGACTATACACATGTTTCATTTGAATGTAGCTTTTTGTCTGACGATTAAACCTTTCTGTTGTGCGTGGAGTCTTATTTCCCCTTTTTAAAACTATTGATATTATTATTATTCCTACGGAAAGCACAGTGGTTTCTCAACCTTTGCCCCTTTGTGGGTGACCTAATGTAATTTATTGTCTTTGTTTCTGATTTTAAAACACAAACACTAAGCTTTAAGATTCTAGCTCCCATGGGGGGGAGATACGCTGTAAAAGGGAAAAAAAAGATAAAATAAATAATATCCAATCAAAGAACAGTGGAAAAGTTTGTGGTTTTTCTTTCGCAGCCTCATCTGCTGATTAATAATTATAATTATTCCAGGCTTAGTGAGCTAGCCGTGCAACAGAAGCTTTCCACTTTATGTCATCGTCATTAGTGAGAAACTTCGTTTGCTGGTTTCTGTGGATCATTGTGCTGTTCAAGCCGCACGAGCAGGATAAACTTTTTTTTTTTCCTGGTCAAT